TATATGCTTTGCAGCACTTATAGGAAAATACCATGAACTAGAAATGCTGGGCTGTTTATTAAAGTGTTACTAAACCCAGGACCCTGCATTCACTATATCTGGTCTACCACAGTACACACAACATGGTAATGCAATTATTTTAGTAAATATAAACTGCTAAACACCTTTTATCATCGGCAGTTAGAGCAGTCTTGTGACTTCTATCAGTGTCCAGCTGAGCACTGGTTAAAGCTTGTAGGACGCGTTTTCATTCTCCTCTGGCTGTCCTATGAAGCTGCATAACCCCTCACCCTCTGTCTGGAAAGTGTTGATTGGCCCTGTACTAATCACATGCACCATTCCAAAGTAAGAAAAAAAATATCTCTAGCAATACGCACTAAACTAAGTATGTGCAGAGTGACTCCTAGAGCTCTGTACTATAAACAGATGGATTGGGGACAGTAGAAGAAGGTAAGGATCTGAGAAGACAGGATCTAACGGCGTGTGACTACAGATTCAGTCTCTATCAGGTGGTCATTTCAACAAGAGAAGGGGCAGAGAAGAAAGGATCAAACAGCCTTTTTACACAATGCAGAGGATTAACCCCTTAGGTTCCATAGTGAGTATAACAAGAATGCTTTATTGCATATAGACTGGTTTTACTGTTGTGGGTTTAGTAACACTTTAAATGGCCCCTTTCTAGCATCTCCCCCCCATATACTAACATCAACTGGTTGTCAGGCTCATTTGCATATACAGGATTTGTGCAGATCTCAGCAGTATGAAAATCTTTTTTTACTGCCATAAAACCTTTCTACTACCTTAGATTTGCACACTTTACAGAACGGCAATCCAAATATATATTGCATTGTTGGCAAGTAAAATAATGTCCGACCTTGTTAAACATTTTTTTTTAATCTATTTACAGCTGACATTGATCCTCCTCTATGTGATACCTGTGGAGGATCTTGTGAATCATTGAATGGATGTAACTGTGGTGATGGCTTGAAAGCATGCGTACCTACAGACTGCATGCTGGGCTCCAATGACTGCTGTAGCATGATTCCTGGGTTGTATTATTATGACTCAATATTGTCCTGCTGCACAGGTAAGACAGTATTACTGTTCATATTCATTGAAGAGCATTCTATGTAAATATCTATGCATTGCAGGCTCACTTGTTTCTGATCTCTTATTTCTATTACAGAAACATTTCAGTGCTCTCCACCTTGCGCCAGTGATGAAATTTGTGTTGACTTAAATGGCACATCAGATTGTCACTGTAATTTGGCAGTCTACGAAGGCCTAGGTAAATAATATTCTTTTCACACAGGACACCAGATTGCCATTTCTAAAGCTAGTGTAGTTTTTAAAACACTTTGAAGGAACCATCGCTTTATCACTGAGCTAGATCAAAGTGCTTATAAACAGCTTACATTAAAAATGAACAAAGCATATCCTTCTATAGTGTGCACTTGTCTCAATTGAAAATACTGAATGTGAATTCTGTCTTCTGCCTACTTACTCTGCGTGAGTTATTTCTGACAGCCTGTATCGACTTCAAGAGATTGAAGGGGACAGGGGAGGTGGCCTCCAGAACACAGCTTGTGTTTGATGGCCTCAAGTGTGCATGTTTCCCTTTGAGATTGTGTAGAGGGGGATGTGGCTCTTTCCTCCACTCAGATCTCATATTACACTAAGATCTCCTCTCTGATCTGTGACATCAGATTCCCACCCCCTGTTTCTGGAAGCTAATAAAAGCTGTGTTAATTCTGGACTTTAAACAGTTGTAGAGAATGAATGGTTGTAGATAAACAGGTACAACTTATGTAGGAGGGTTTGTTTAATCTCTGTATCACCTGAGGCCAATCATTTCACTGGGTATATATAATGGTTTACAACCACTTTAACGAAGCAATGGCTAAAAAATTTAACCTAGCAATACTTTGGATGAATGTAAACCTCATCATGACCAGTTTGATGAAGTGGGCCTTACCTTATCTTATTTGTTTTTATTTAGCATTTTAAAAAGTTTAATGATAGATAGTAAATCAACCCCTTTATGCATCAGTAACTCATATGTGTGGCAGCAAAAAGTTGGGTTCTAGAGCCCCTACACAGCATACATATGTGTCGCTGGTTGAGACAGAGCTGCTGAAAATGATTCTTGGTCCCGAGAAAACATTGGTAGCCGGTGGGACAGGCTTCCACTCATGTGACCACTGTGATAGCCTATCACATTGGCCACATGATCACTGATCCTTCCTGTCCCCCTGGATGTTAAGAACTTTTAAAGGGGACACCAGGGCAGTCAGTAAGGGGTTACTGTGGAACTAAACCCTCCTATGCTTTACAGTAGGGGTCTCCAAACTTTTTAAACAAAGGGCCAGTTTACTGGCCTTAAGGCTTTACGGGGGAGGACTGTGGCCATTGGGAGTAGAATGGGCCCTGATGTCAGTTGGAGCCCCTATAAAAGTAAGCAAAGGTCTGCATCTTGCCCCCTGGCCTGGGCCTCAGTTTGGAGACTACTGCTTTACAGCTAAGGAAGCTGCCATCTTAAGCTGGCCATCGATGATTTTTTTTTCCATTTAGCCAGTGGGCTGAATGAGAAAAAACAACAGATTCCTCCATCCACACAAGCAAGATGAATGAAGGAATCCCCCTGCTAAGGCATTGTATTCTGACTTTCTGCTGTCAGAATTCTCTGATCTGTGGCTAAGCAGCAGTCAAATTCCAGTTGGCTGGATAAGGAAGAAGCTGATCAAGCACTGTCGGTTGGGTTGGTTGGAAATTGGGGATCTAACAGACCCCTGATATTTCTGTACAGAGAACCTGTCACCTGCTCTGTGCTATTACAATGGGAGCTTGTCAGCACCTTGTGACAGTGATAAAGGTACTACTTGTCAATATCAGATGCAGTGCTTTAGGAGGGACATGATGCCGCACAGTGGGCAGCACAGTGGCTAAATGGTTAGCACTTCTGCCTGGCAGTACTAAGGTCATTGGTTAAAATCCCAACCACAGCACCATCTGCCTGGAGTTTGCATGTTCTCCCTGTGCCTGCGTGGGTTTCCTCCCACACTCCAAAGACATGCTGGTAGGTAGATTGACTCCTGTCTAAATTGGCCCTAGTATGTGTATGTATGAATGGGAGTTAGGGACCTTAGATTTTACACCCCTTCACCCCTTAAGGGTTAGGGACTGATGTGAATGTACAATGTATATGTAAAGCACTGCGTAAATTGACGGCTCTATAAAAGTACCTGAAAGAAAGAAATAGTTTTATTGGCAAAAAGTTCCTATCAACATAAAATAAAAAAAAACAACATACCCCCAAACAAAATGGAAACCACAAATACTCCTCCCTCCAAATAATAACAAAAAGGGGCAGCAAGGAGGTGATCCCCAAAGAGCTTGCAATCAGAAGTAAAGCACAGTATCATAAGTTACCCTAACCTCTCCCTTTGCAGTTTGTCAGCTTTGCTGCTTGTGGTTCATAGCAGGGTGCATCCATCACATTTAACATTTTGTTTTCTAATGGGAAAACCCAGGAACAACTTTTCATTTGTTGACTGCCTGTGTCCAGATTAAAATAGATATAGGTTCATATCTGCCAGGACAGAGGGCAGAAGTTTGATGTTAGGGTGTACCATTAACGGGGATATTTTATTTCCCTTGGACTTCAACGTTAAAGGATAGGTTCACTTTTTGGACAAAAATAATAAATGCACATTTTTTTGCAGGTACAAAAATGTGCATTTATTATTTTTCTCCAAAGGAGCCTGGAAAGCATTGCACCAGCGATCATTAGATCACTGATGCCATGCAGGTCTCCTGCAGACCTGTCAGAATATCTGCTTGCTGTACGGGATGTACGGCCAAGCAGATATTCTAACAGGAAGCTTCATTGGTTATTCACTGCAAACTACAAACCCACAACCTGAGTTCCTGGGTGGGCCTTCTGCTGTGGCCATTATGAACAAGTCCAACTCTCCCTGTTGGATGTTTTACATATATCATGAAACAAGAGGTGGTAGAAAGACAGGTAAGGAATAATTGCAGGGAGATTCCACTCTCTGAGTATCCAAGACATTCAAGAAGTTTAGGCTTCAGCTTTAACAAAAAAAAAAAAAAAAATCACTTTTAAGAAAATGAAACACGTAAGCTTCATAAAATAAAATATAAATATTACTATGCTTACTGCCATTATTTTACAGGTACTAAAGATTTGAAACCCTCAGTGACCTGTGCTGGAGATGCAATGACGGCATTTTTAAGCCTGTGTGAGCTAGAAGCATTGGGCTACAACTTCAGTACAGCTCACCTGCTCAACGAATCTGAAATCTGTGTCTATGCGTATAGCAATATTCAGAACAATATCCGTATGGTCAACTTCCCGATCAGAGCAGCTATAGACTGGTGTGGAAACATTGCTATGGTACAACTTACCTTTTGCAAATATTTTCTTATAACATTGTTTACTGTAAAGTAGTCTACATTTAAGAAGACCTTTAATAAGGGATTATATCTACAATAGCAAATAAATGTATTATTTACCACTTGCTCTCCTGAGGACCCCCCCCCCCCCTTCCTGACAAGGCATTTTTTGCGTTATGGCGCTGCGTTATTTTAACTGACAATTGTGCGGTCATGCAATGCTGCACCCAAATGAAATTTATGTCCTTTTTTTCCCATGAATTGAGCTTTCTTTCGGTGGTATTTGATCGCCTGTACATTTTTTTTTGCGCTATAAAAAAAAAACCCCACAATTTTGAGAAAACAACTATATTTTTGACTTTTGCTATTAAACATATCCAGTAAAAAAAATTTAAAAAATCAAATTTCGTCATAAATTTAGGCCAAAATGTATTCTGCTACATGTCTTTGCTAAAAAAAAATCCCAATAAATGTAAATTAATTGGTTTACATGAAAGTTATAGCGTTTACAAATAGTGGTAGATATACTGGTATTTTTTTTTTTACTAGTAATGGCAGCAATCGGCGACTTATAGCGGGACTGCTGGACTGCAGCAGGCATTCTGACACTGGGGGGAACTGACTTGGTGTCACTGACATCCCCAGTGACACCAATACAGAGATCAGTGCTAATAAAAAGCACTGACATTGTACTAATGGCACTGGGCATGAAGGTGTTAACATCTGGGACAATCAAAGGGTTAACTGTGTGCCGTTTTACTGTATGCTGTGTGTGTGTGTGCTTCACTGTAAGCCCACTGCTTTGCATGGCTCTGCTATGCAAAGCCATGCATAGCAGTGTGAAGCAGCTGATGGGAGAGATCTGTATTGTTTACTTACAGTTCTCTCCCTCTGCCAGTATGTGATTTTGCGCAGCCGTGCTGCCCTGTAGCAGTATTACTGCTATAGGGTGGACGGGAAGCTGTTAAAATATTGCAAGTGCTACTGTGAAAAATATTTTTGGTTGTGTCCATGTATATAAATGTCATAAAAAAACCACACAAAAAAAGTTCATATGATATAATGGAGGCTTTTAAGGATCCATGCACACTGGGTGTTTTGATAACACTGGTAACATTAGCTGTGTAAAGTCATGTTAAAAACATTATTTCTAAAGCTTTTTTTTAGACTTTTTGCATTAGCATTTAGTGGCGTTTTGCTGTGTTTAGCTGCATTTTCCCGCATTTCCATTTTTTAGCGTTTATTTTGCAAAAAAAAATTTTGTTTGGTAAAAAATGTCCGAAAACGCAAGTTTGCGGCGTTTTACCGCGTTTTGCTGTGTTTTTCAGCGTTAGAGCGTTTTTACAGCTAAAAAACTCCTCTAGAAACCCACTAGTCCTGGGGGGTTTTTTTTCCAGGCAAAAAACGTCCCTGCCAAAAAACATTGATTACAGTCTATGTGTGCATGGACACATAGGATAACATGCTGGGGGGTTTACTGGCTGTAGAAAACAAAGTCAAAAGCCAAAAACAGCAGCTGTTAAAATGTCCAGTGTGCATGAGGACTAAAACCTTTTTGGTGTACACTGAGCTGTCAGTTTTTATTACATACATAGTTAGTTTGGTTGAAACATGACATAAGTCCATCCAGTTCAACCATTAAAAAAAAGTTATAATCCTGTACCCACAGTTGATTCAGATTATAATATTGATAGTTTAGTGTATACCAAGCTGTACATATTATTGTATTAACATGATATTATTAATATATAGTACTTCAGTACACACCATCCCCATACTAGTATGTTAGAAGGCACTGTATCAAGTAATGTAATGGGTTACCTAGTGAAAGAAACAAATTGACTTACTTCACTCAAAAGGGCCATACAACCATTTGCTTTGCACATGATTGAGTATTTAAAATAAACTCAATTTTACCTTTTTTACCAAGCTAAGCAAATGGTGTCTGTTTCTTCAGTAAGTCAAACCAATACGTGCTCTGCCATTAAATATACATAGAGCATGCCTAATAACTAGGAACCTCAGATCTGTTTTTGTTCTTTTTCTAGAAAAAAATAATAACTTTTTCATATTCTCTATGGCGTTTATTTATTTACTCAGAATCTTGTGCACTTCTGCATAGAAATCAATCAGCTTCCAGGTTTTATTGCTAAAGCTTAATTGAATAAGCGGAAGTTAGAAGCTGATTGGCTACCATGTACAGCTGCACCAGATTCTGAGTGCACCGCCTTTAGTAAATCCCCCCCCTTTGTGTCTTTAACCATTTGCCGCCCGGCCAATGGCCGTTTGGCGGTGGCAAAAGTGCTTCTGCATTCCGGGTGCACGCCATTTGGCGTGCTCCCGCACATGCTCAGTTCGCGCAACTGAAGAGCGGCACAGCGGCGCGATCTGTCACCGGCCGTGTACCTCGGACACGGCCGATGACAGATCTGAGTACCGGCCCCCGTTGCTGGTACCATGTGACCTGCTGTGACCAATCACAACAGGTCACATGACAGTTGTATACAATGGATGGCTTCATTCATGCCATCCATTATATACTAGTGCCTAGCTGTGAATGGTCACAGCAGGTCACATGCACATGTCATGTGATTAGCTGTGACCAAATCACAGCTAAGCACAAAAAAAAAAAAAAGAAAACTGAATGAATCGATTTCATTCAGGTAAATGCTTGCTTATAGCAAAGTAATTCTTTGCTATAAGCAAATTGTGTAAAAAAAAAAAATAAATAAAAAAAATACTGATCACTTCCCCAAAGTAGTACAATGTTACTATGGTAACATTATACTACTTTGGTCATAGTAACATATGAAAAAAAATCTTAAAAAAAATAAAAAATGTAATAAAAAATTAAAAATAATAAAAAAAAAAATATATATTTTTTTTTTCATACTGTCACCAGTCAGTGTCCCTGTTCACCGCCATGCCAGTTATATGATGACGCTGTACTGCACTGGTGACAGTATGTAAAAAAAAAAATAGTGAAAATAATTTTTTTAATTTTTTCATTTTCCGAAAAATTATGACAAAAAAAATACAACTTCAAAAAACTCGCCATTCCTCTTATGAAGTACGTCGGACTGTCTACTCTGCAAAAAGGGGTCATTTGGGGATATCTGTACTGTTCTGACATTCTTGGACCTCAAGAAATTAGATTGGCCGTCAGTACTTCAGGATTGATCAATATTCAGATCTATACCATAGTTTGTGAACTCTATAACTTTCCTACAAACTAAAAAAGACATTCTAATTTGGGTTATTTTCACCAAAGACATGTAGTAGAATACATCTCGGCCTAAATTTATGAAGAACAAGTATTTATTTGTAAACTTTTATAACAGAAACAAAGAAAAACATGTTTTTTTTCAAAATTTTTGGTTGGTCTTTTTTTGTTAATTTAGCAAAAAATAAAAACCCCAGCTTTGATTAAATACCACCAAAAGAAAGCTCTAGTTGTGTGAAGAAAATGATAAAATTTTAGTTTGGGTACAATGTTGTATGACCGCGCAATTGTCATTCAAAGTGCGAGAGCGCTGAAACGTGAAAACTGGCCTGGGCAGGAAGGTGTAAAATTGCATGGTATTGAAATGGTTAATTGCTTCACTTTTCCTTTCCTTGTGTTTTTTTTTTTTTTAGGAGGACTCATTAAGCATTAATTTTACCAATATTCTTCACATTGATGCATATTCAGGACCTATAATCACTAAGAATCCAATCACGTACAACGTTACTTGTGTTTATAACCGTAATATGCAGACCAGCCTCGGTTTCTCTCTGCACCCCATATCAAGGTGAGAAATATTATTACTTACATTTTTATAAATTACTGTGTCAGTCCAGGTTCATACCTGGATGCGTTTTGCGTAGCAACAAGTTGGAAAAAACCCGCAAAACGTGTCAAAACCACATGTGCAAAAATGCACAATGCACCGCAAAGAGCACTACAGAAACAGATCAAATGTAAACTGCATAGGTGTGAACCTAGCTTCGAGGGGACTTTGGTATTGCCTATAAACAAGAACAAACCTGTAAGCCTGGGAAAGCCACAAGACTGCTCTAATTGCTGATGAGAAAAGCTATTTAGTAGTTTATATTTACTAAAATTATTGCATTTCCATGTTCTGTGTTCAGTGGGAGACCAGATAAAGTGAATGCAGGGTCCAAGGTTTAGTATCACTTTAAGTCCTCATGCACAATGGGCATGTTTACAGCTGCTGTTGGCCTTTGGTGTTTTTTTTTCTACAGCCAGTAAACTCTCCAGTATGTTATCCTATGTGTCCATGCACACATAGGCTTTAATCAGCTTTTTATGGCTGGAAAAAAACCCGGAACTAGTGGAGTTTTTTAGATGTAAACGATGGTAAACGCGGCAAAACGTGGAAAAGTGCAGCAAAACGCTAATGCAAAAATGCTACAAAATGCAGAAAAACTTGCATTTTTAACATGACTTTATCCAGCTAATGCTACTGGCATTTTTAAAACTCCCAGTATGCATGAGGATAACACAGGGCAAAAATGACATAAAATAGGCACTCAATCTAAAAAAAATGTAACCCTCTACAGAATCTATTCATTCTTATATCCCAATTGACATAATAATATGGAATATTATTGAAGGTTTTTGAATGTTTTCATTTTTAACGTTGTTGTTTTTGTTTTCTCAGCACAAATCACTATTCCTTCTGGCAATGGAGTCAGCCCATATAGTGTAACATTGGCAGCTTACAGTGATGAATCATGCACTATGCCATTACAGGAAACTGATACCTTGACTGTTGGATCCATTTTATACCTAGGCTTATTTTCCCCAGATTTAGATGGAAATACATTTTCTTTAAGAGCACAGAAATGTTTTGCCACTCCTACAAATGACTCTAGCTCCAACGTCAATGTAATGCTAGTAGATGGAGGGTGAGTATAATTTATAATATGGAAAATACAGTTTTTTATTTTTTTTTGTATGTCACAGGTGTCAAACGAACAATAAAGATAACAGGTGAAGTCTACAATGTGAATTGGTTTCAGCACCTATGTGGACAAAATTAAACCCTTCAGTGAGATTGAAAGGTTTATGCTCAAATGTACCACAATTACACCAACCAATCAACTATTCTGCCTGTCTGATTTATGGTATGATTTATTAGCAGTCTTTGAACAGGAATAAGGTTCAAAACTGCCTCCAACATGGGTTCAGGTCAAACCCTGGCAGCTTGAAACTCACAGTCCTGGCAATTTATTGTCTAAAGAGGATTACTTATATGATAATGGTAGTTCCCAGCATGCTGCTGCATCATGTGAAAGTAAGGAAACTATGTTAAAGAACAACGTACACCTCAAATCATATCAGTCAGTCACCTCATCCCCCTCGTAAAAATACAAATAAGACATACTCTGATTAGGCCTATTATATGTAATGAAAACTTACCTGCTGTAAACCAAGTTTTGCTTGCCATGTTGCTTGTTGTAAAACCCCTGCCTGTGCTTTTTCTCGTTAGTAAATTCGGGCCTAGTCTTGCTCATTAACCGCTTACCCACTGCCCTATAGCAGAAATACTGCTACAGGGTGGCAGGGATGCGCAAAATCACGTATATATACGTGATTTGTATTGCTGGGTAGGGAGCGCAAGTGCGCACCACCCAACTGGCGCCGCCGGCACCCAGCAATCGCTGTGCAAAGCTGACAGGGGAGAGACCTGTGTGTAAACAACCTGCTAGCAGTAACATGCTGTTTTGCATTCTCTGCACAGCAGAGAAATAGAAAACAGCATGTCTCCAAAAGACTATGACTAAAGCTAAACTTAAATTTGAAAATAACGAAATCTAATACCATAAATAATAA